ACTAAGGTCATGTTCTTATGTGTTGTTGGTAGACCATTCATATCAGAGAATGGAGAGATTTTATGGGATGGAAAAATTGGAATATTTCCTTTTGTTGAAACTGTGGCTGCTAAAAGAAAGAGTAAAAACAGGGAGGCAGGTGTATTAGAAGTGAAACAACTTCTGAGTGTCACCAAAGAAGTGACTAAAGATATGCTGGTGAACCAGGTTATCCCTGCAATTAGGGAGAAGTGGCCCTCTTTCTTGGATAGGAACATAATTCTCCAGCAAGACAATGCAAAGCCACACATTTCTGCCACAGATCCAGAGTTTATGGCAGCAGCAAGTGGGAATGGCTTCAACATCATCCTAACTAACCAACCCCCCAACTCCCCAGACCTCAACATTCTAGACTTGGGTTTTTTTAGAGCCATCCAATCACTGAAAGAGAAAACTGCTCCTAAAAATGTGGCAGAGCTAGTTGAGGCAGTTAAGGGTGCATATGCAACACTTACTCCACAAACATTGAACAAAGTATGGTTGAGCTACCAACATGTGATGCAGGAAGTAATGAATAATGATGGAGGAAACAAGTACAAGCTACCACATATGGCAAAAGACAGGTTAGCTAGAGAAGGAACACTTCCAGTGACTCTAAATGTACCCCACACACTATTGGAGAAGACAGTAAGGGTGCTGAGCAATAGGTCTGTGCAAAATGAAGAGCAAGTATTGCATTAGTTCATGAATGAAGATGGAGAAGAGTTCTCATCTTCAGAAATGAACTGAGTGTGTTTCATAACATCAAGGAGTTTTTTTTGTGAATGACTGGGTACATGTTTTTGGCTTTTGAATTTTGTATATGTAAGTAATGAAGAGTAGGCTAGTAAGACCTTGAATTTTTTGTTTCACCATCAAGGCAACCACTCGAAATGTACTCCAGTAGGTTTTCTTTTACTACCACTCACATTATGTACCTTAATGAACTACTTGAACTAGACAACTTAATCACATGTTCATCATCGCTGTGTATGTATTATAATGTGTGCAACTACCCATGAAAATGCAAAGAATAAAGAAAGAGTAACTTCACTTTCCACTCCCGATGAGAAAGCAAGCCTGGAATTGGTTGAGCCGCGCCAACCCCTTCTTCCGGTAGACTGGAGTGGCTGCCCATCTCAAGACCTGGCTGCTCTTCATCCAATTCGCTCCCAAAGCTTCGCATCTGCTCATCCTCCATCTCACTTTCCTCGTATTCGCTGTCAGCAATGACTATGCCAACTTCAGAGCTGGTCTCAGTGGACTCACTCTCTCTGTCCTCACTGTGTAATGAATCGATAGTCTCTCTCTCTCCGTTCTCAAACCTCTCATCTTCGGGCTTCATCCCTTGATAGTATTCAGCGATTTGAGATTCAACAAGTAACTGCATCTCAGAAATCTGAGAATCCATATCAATGTTGGGGATGAAGATTAGATCTAGGGTTTTGTGGGAGAAGGAATTTACAGACACGAATAGAGGGTGAGACGGAGAGGAGAACACAGAGATGGCGAGGACGAGAGATGGTGAGGACGAGAGATGGCGAGGATGAGAGATGCAGAAACGACGAGATGGAGAGATCTAGATCTAGGTTTAGAGAGAGGAGGCGAAGAGTACAAGAGTAGAAGAGATAAGGATTCGTAAATGTGGAGGTGTGGTGGTTGTGGCGTAAATGTGAAGGTGGGGGTATTTTAGACATTACACACCCTTTTTAAGGGTGTGGGAAGAAAGTTTTAGGACGGGAAAAAATGGGAAATGGGAAGAAAGTTTTAGGACGGAGGGAGTAATTTTTAACCAAGAATATCACAATTATATTTAAAATCAGTTTAATTTATAATGAGAGGTGTTATTACTGTAGAGCCCACAATTGAGCATCTAATGAGAGGTGTTATCACTGTGGATGCTCTTAATTGATTCTCATATTATAACTCAACAGCCTCTTTTATTACCTTCAATAAATTTTTTATCATCGGTTAATAACCCTCATGCATCACATGCTTCCTCGAATGAATTATAAAGAACATTGTTTACTGTCTTCAAGCTCTCATAACTCTCTGGTTCCTGTTGTCACATACTATAGTCGGCCTATTGATGGTCTTTCATACTTCCTTTTGGCATGTGTTATAAATATATTTTTTATTTTTTACACATGATAGTTTTTCAAATAAAAAATTTAGAGTTAGTACCTTTTTTTGCCTTTAAAGACATTACAGACCATGTATAACTTTTTTTGCTTTTAAAATATGTATGTATGAAAATTTTATACCCTTTATCCAGTAATAGCTTTATTTATTTTCCAAATTCTATATACTTTTTCATAAATAAACCATGTACCATCTAAGAATATAACAATTAATTTTTAACCAAGAATATCACAATTAGTATTTAAAATATTAATTCATCATAATTGCATTTATAACAATTAATATTATACCATAAATTATTCGATTGTAAAAAGAAATTAATAATTAAATTATTACACATAATACAAATGCATTATTTATCCATATATAAATCTTTTGCCTTTTAATATACATAGCATACATTTTTAATTTTTTAAAAAATATTCAAATATCAACTTCTATTATTTATTTTGATTTTTTTTAGACAAAGAGAGGTGTTTAAGTTACTCTTTTGTTTATTCTTGCTATGCATGGCATGAGGTTGTTGAAATGTTTGTGATGTTGAGGCTTTAAATGTACAGTATATATGCATTGGAAAGAAATGCTTTAAATATTGTTTTGAATTAACTGCTTTAAATTATTTTAAAATATTATTGTGTTTGGATGTCAATTCAATTATAACCCGATCCGATGGTCCATGTATTCGGCTTTCGGGGGTCGGGTATTACAAGGCAACCTTGTTGGGTCAAATGAAATAAAGGAGTTCAAGAATTGCATTTATAACTGTGGCCTAGAGGAGATGCCTAGTATACCTCCAATAGGCAAGGCCAAGGATATAGCATCTACTCATAGGTTGACAGAGTTTTATGCAAACTCAGACTGGATGGCAAACTACAATACAAAGGTGATTATTGAAGAGAAGGGATTATCAGATCATACACCCCCTAAAATTCAACAAGTTGATTAGGTGAATTACAAAAGTTTCAGATCTTCTGAAATGTAGTCATTAGACCCTGATTTCAATAAGATTGTGAAAGCTGTTTTGCACCAGGAAATAGTTGGGAGGCCTATGTTCCAATTGTGTAAGAAGTTAAAAGAGTTCAAAAAACCCCCAATGAAATTAAACACAAGCAAATTTGGTTATGGTAGAGAAGTATAGCTGTAAATGAATAATCGAAAATTCGATTACCGTCCGCATCTGTATCCGTTTATATGAAAAATATTCTCATCTGTTAAAAGCGGTTATTATCCGTATTTGATTAAGGATATTTGATTGCTAAACGGATACGAATTTGGTAATCACACATCCGATCAGTTTATAATCTGCTCTGCATTGACATCTGTTTAAATAACTGTTTATCAGTGTATCTGATCCGTTATATATAATTTTTCTTAGTTTTTTATTTTTATATTTTGTTTCTCTATTGATATTTCAAAGTATAAGACATTTTTAATGCAAAATATATGTGTAGACACATAAAAATATGTATAGACATATAAAAATATGTGTATATATGTATTGTGCATATCTTTTTATGATATGAAATTATCGTAGAATATCATAAATTATAAAAAAAATAAGAAAATAATTATCCCATAAAAAATTAAAGTTGATTTAATAATATTTTGATTTAGTTTAATTGAAAATTAAAGTATTGTTTAATTTGGTTTACTAAATTGGAAACGGATACAGATATATCCAATATCCGACCGATATCCGACAAATGCGGATACGGTTTTAATTTTCAGTATTCGTCAAGATCCGTATCCTAATTCGATATCCGACAAAAATAAATGGATACAGATTTGGTAATAACATATCCGATCCGATTACTATCCATTTACACCTGATAGAAGGTAACAAAAAGGTAGCAGATAGAGGCTATGGTAGACTATTTCTTGAAGGCTTTGAGGATGAACTCCCTAACCGTGGACGTGAATATAGAGGCCATGAACAGAGGTAATGAATTCAAAATTGAGCAACAATTTGAACTAATACTGATGTTGATGGAGGACAAGTGAAAGAAGTTTTGGTTAGTATACCAAACAATAAGAGCCCGGGCTCGGATGGAATCAACGGTGATTTCAAGAGCCAATGGGCTGTTGTAGGGGACTTGGTTACTTGATGGAGAGAATTATGGCTTTTTTTGAGATGGGAAGGGACTGAGAGAAGGAGATCCCATGTCACATTTACTATTTGTTTTAGTAATGGAATACCTGAGTAGACTTCTTCAGCAAATGGCACAAGATAAAGACTTTAATTTCCGTCCAATGGGCAAAACCATAAAGATTGTTAACCTTTGCTTTGTGGATAATCTCATAATTATTTGTAGAGCAGATGAGAGTACCATTAGCATGGTAATGGATGTCCTGAAAACCTTCCAAAACTCAACTGGACTTGGTATTAACTATGCTAAATCTCAAATTATATTTGGGGGGTTAAGGAAAAGGATCAATAAAGTTTTCTACAAATGACTCAGATTTCACTAGGGGTTTTACCTCTAAGATACTTGGTGAGTCCTATCACTACTGCTAGGATTGGAACTAAGAAGTGTGATAAGATTGGAGCAGGTTATTTACTATCCCAACTAAAGTCATGATGAAGGTCCAAAGCTTATGCAGAAATTTCTGGTGGAGAGCTACTGCAAATTACATGAAGTGCCCTAAGGTCCAATGGGATGATGTATGTCTACCTAAAGGACTAGAGAGCTGGGTTTAAGGAATATGGTGTTATGGAATAGGGCTGTTATTATGAACTATTGGTGAGATGTTGCTAATGAAAAGAACAACATATGCATCATATGGATTCATGAAAAAATATAAGTTTGAATTCCATAGTTTGAATTCCATGTACCAAACGAAGCCTATATGTACCACAATAAACGTTACAGTACTCCATTTTTTTCCTACTAAAGTACAATGAATCATAAATACTTGGTCAACCATGGTAGCTCCTCGCTGTCTTTAAGTGCAAAAGTCACATCATCGCTGCATTGCAAATGAAAAATAATTACCCTATATTTCGATACTATTTCCTTCAAAAAAAATTAATTGCTAAGCATTCATTTAATTCCAAAAAAAATTATTTCATTTAAAGTTGCTTTTTAATGTAACCAAACCAAGCATTCTGTAGAAAGTTACCTGGGAAAGTTAAGTTGTAATTTTTGCAGCTTGTGTTTTGCTCCTGGTTCACACAATAATATTCTGCACTCTCCAAGCTTGCATCTTTCACCATCAGAGAGACCAATGGAGATTTTAGAGCAAAATATAAATAGACAAAAATATGTCCTAAAGCAGAAATTGAAATAAATAACATGTTTAAGTAGATACCCATCCATCATTTTTAAGACCAATGAAGATTCCTAATATGCAACAGTTTTTTAAAGGTTTGTTGTGACTTACCCAATTTTTAGGAGTGAATCCCAACCTGGAAATTTTTCTTTGTTGCTTGTGCAAAGAACTGCAACCGTCGCTCCCAGCTGTAATGAAGAAAGGAAACAAAAGCCCAAGAAAATTCACATCTAGAAATTAGAAATTTGATAAATCGATTTTCATGCTTCAAACAAGGAAAACAAGCAATTAAGCACCAAGGCCATTGATGATGAAATGATAGGCCAAATACTTGCCACTGAACACATTACAAATCAAAAAATCAAACCATATCAAAGGGTTTGATTTAAATTAAAGGTGTAATTGGTTTTATCATCACTTACAACTTTCCTTGGGTATCTAATTGTGTTAGTAACTAAAATGGATGTCTATATGGCTTGTCGAAAGTCAATCAAGAGGTTTTTAAGGGTTTGGGACTTTGGGGGGGCATTGTTTAGTTAATTAACTTAGTTTAGGGATTAACTAAACACTTGATGTCATTTTTTTTCTTTTGGAAATTTGACCGAAATAATTCCATAATGGATTCATAAGTCCAACATGAGAAACGGGTTTCCCCTCGAGGGATTTGGAGATTAGGATACAATTTAGACAGTCGAGGCTTTGATTATGGGTCTAAGTTCTAATTAATCAATGAATGCATTGATTACGGACAACTGATCACGGCTCCAGATCCTGCCATGATTTGATCAGACCATGAGATAACCAAGATCCTTCAGTACGTAAACCATGCACATCAACAGCAGATTTTGCTGATGCCATGTATGAAAATGGGGAATAAAAGTGCTTACCTCATCAAAGGTGGTTTCGCTCATTCCGGTTTTGTGAAGCTCATAAACCATAGCAGCCAAGAAGATCTTACTGAATCTTGAGCAGCTTCTCATCACCTGGAAAACATTAAAGACATTCAGTATTCAAAAAGTAAATCCAGCTTCTGAGTTTCTCAAGCTTGGCTTAGCAAGGCTGGGCCATGGATTTGCTTTCCTCATGAGCTGAGTTCTTAGTTTATGTGCAATCTTCATTTTCTACCTTGAAATCCAGTATCTTGACATTAATAAAAAAATCTTTTCAGAAAATTTATTTTCTTTAATGAAAATCTTACCATGAAAATTGTTAATATAACTCACTTGAATATGAGGGGCCTGAAACATTTCATGAATAGCGGATTCAACTTCAGCCATGCCAACTAGTGTTTTTCCTGAAAATTTCCAAAACTTCCAACTGTTAGAATTGTTTCCTTGATATAGTGGTTTTTCTTAACTTCCAGAAAGAAATTACTTGCCATCTAATAACTTCTACATCATTCTGAGGGCACTCCGCAAATACAAATTTCAAAGAACAACCTATTGATAGCGTTCGATGCAGGAGGATACTCAAGAATGGAGAGGGAGATCCTTGAGGATGAAGCTATGGTGATGAATCAACTCAGTTGATTCATAGATGTAACGGAATTGAGATGAAGGAAGGAGAGAGACGAACCGAGAGAGATAGAGAGGAAGATAGAAACTGGGAATTGGATTATTCTTTCATTGGTTGTGAAGAAGAGCAAGTACAAAGGGTATTTAAAGGCTAAAATGTCTTACTAAATCTATAACAAACTGCCAGCTAAGCTTGGAGTTAGTTGCACTGCAACACCTATTTGATCATTAAATAGATCAAATCAAATTTTCAGTGATGGTATAACTCAATATCAAGCAGCATGCCTTTCAATTCTCTACTTAGAGAAAAGGCAGTTAGTTTATTATGAAAGAAATAATGTATACTCCATCCCAAAAATGGAGTATTGCTTCAAGAGCTACTCCCCCCCCCCCCCAAAAAAAGTCATGTTTTAAAAGTCAACTTTAATTTCCGAAAAAAAAACTGTAAAGCCAGAAGCATGTGGTTGCCAATTACTCCAACCAACTTTGCAAATAAGCTCTAGGGAGTATAAATGCCCATCCATGAACCATGATTTGCAAAAATTTGTACCTTAAATCCTTAATTGTGACTAAAAATAAAATGTTATATTACTTGTATCTTACTCAAGCACAACTTTTATGGGTGGAAAGAGTATAATATAAAGAGAACCAGTTAGATCAATATCTCTTTTACACCCACTGAACAAAAGGACCACGGAAACAGAAAGGAAGCTTGTAAGAAATTTTATAGTTATTGTAAGCTTGTGACACTGGGAGTAGAAAGAACCATGTTAACAGATGCAAGACAGACTTCACAAAATTCCTATTATTAAGTAAAAAGTGTCCTAATCTCCAAACACCTATCTGTGACTGTGACTGACAGAATACTTACCTGCTGCAGAAGGACAGACTTTCTTAAAACGGTAATCCGCAAGTTCTGCAGCACGTCTGCATATTTCCAATGCACGGCGGGCATCCCCTGAAACAGCAGCCACCTGAATTTGTGCACAAACCACGATGAGAAACCTCTAGGCCCTCTAAAATTATTAACTGAAGATTTTTACAGTTAGAGAATATGCTTTAAAAATCCAAACTTATCAAATGATATTACCTTTCTTGAAGCGAATTCAATTGCAGGCTTTTCAAAGACATCTAATCCATTTAGACGAGTTAAAATTATTTCTTGAAGTTGCTGGTAATGGTATGGACCAAAGCATAATCTTTGAATGCCCATACGACTTGAAATGCGAGGCAGCAACTTCTCCGGAAGATCCATAGTGTTAGCTATCCCTGAATCAGCAGAGAAAGTAAGTTACAAATGCTCTCGGATAGAAGCTTTTTCCATGTACATAGATACATTGGAAGAAATATCTATACTCCCACCTATAATAATTAGTCTTGAATGTGGCTTGGTAGGCCAATCGAGAATGTTGTATAGGACCTGCCGTTTGAGGAGAAAGATCGATGGATAGAACTCTGAACCTTATAGAAACTTAGGCAACATTTGTTTACAGGAGAATAATTTCTTGGTAAATGTTTCTTTTTTGGGACAAGAATTTTTTTCATGATTCTTCATTTTGTAGAAAATGAAGAATTTTTGTTTCATGATTCTTTATTGTGAAGAAAATAGCCTCATTTTTCCTGCAAAGTTTAATATTTCCTATTTCGTGGGTCAACCATTACATGGAGTATCATACAAAAAGCAGTGCATTTTCTAAAAAAACTTTTTGCCTGATAAGTTATTTTCCTGTAAACAAATTTGAGCCTCATTGTAGGAAAAAGCCAGAGATCATAATTACCGACTGGCTCCTAGTTACAAGAAGATCGAGTTCATCAATAAGAAGAATACATGGGCGGCTATCCTCTTTGCCACGCTCAGTTCCATTTGAGAATTTATCATTCAAAAGCTTAAGAGCTTTTTTCCAACTAACTCTGTGTCCAGTTAATGATTCATAAATAACCTGAAAACCATGTTGATTTGCCTTAAAAGTAGTATATCACTAATTCATTGACATTTAATGTTAGAGTAACAAGTCATGCACTTACACTGTAAATGCTTTCAGGTGAGGCCAACTTTAGACCATTAATTTCGATGAAAGAGTAAGGCTTAACACCTCCTGTTTCAACCTCGGATTTGAGGTTCCTCATTACTCCCAACACACTCATTGTCTGCAGCATAGTGGAGATCGTTTGGAAAAACATATGAACATCTTATAAAAATAGATACAACAACAGCCCAGTAGAATATTACGGAGTACATGAAAAGCTCTGCATAGCAATACTCTATCTAATAATAACCTATATTTTATTGTTAAATATTCTAGTCCCAAGTGATATTTTTTGTACATATAACATGGGGTGTACATGTTTGATTAGGACCAGAGCAGGCCTGCCTGAATAGACATAGGTCCAGTCTTCTGGTCCAGGGACAAATTTTTTCTGTCCGAACTAATTGGCCCTGAAAATAAGAAAATACTCCAGAGTATATTTTTTGAACAGATCCTGTGTTTAAAGGAAATAAAAGTTTGTCATAGCTTAAGACCTGTTTTTAGTGTTCAAATAAATGCTTAAATGAAGTAAATTCACATGATTCAATGGTTCTGATCCAGTCCGAATCAATGACTAGTTAAATTTGGTGCTGAATTCACTTTTAACATTACTTGTTATTTAATATAATGCTATTTAAATTACTCAAAAATATAAGTACGATTAAAAAACGTGTTAACTGATAGGAGACATCATGATAGATTAGGGAGGCTAGCCGGTGGTAGTACGCTACCGATCGCTAGATAGAGAAAGACAATAAATCAATACGGAGTAATAGAATGTAGATATAGTATGACATAGTAATAAATAATGCATAAGTTAGATATATGACTTGAATAGAAATGGAGAAGAACACACTTATATATGTAGAAATGAGACCTAATGAAGTTGCTAAGCATGTGTTACGAAGGTGCTATGAAAGTGGTAAGTGTGCGTGAGAGAATGAGCTGTAAAGTATACAGTGCTCCTAATATTTCAACATTTTGTATACAATATTAATCCAATCTATGTTCAGATATTATCATTATCTATGGTAGTAGGTTGCGAGCATGGACTCCATTATAACATGAAAAATTAGGTTTGCTCCCAGAATGTGATGGTACTGATCCGGTCCGAATTGATCCTGTTGTTTCAATTTGGTCCAGTCCAAAGCCAACTTTTAGGAGCAGTCTGGTTCGATCCTAGACCTATGAACATCTAAGCAAATAACAATATTCAGGTATAACCTCTCAATTAGAATAGAATTAGTTTGGTCTTAAGGCTATTCTTGCATATATGTTTTACTCTAGGTGCTACTTGCTCGTTAAGCAGTTTTTCTTTAAGCAAACTTGTTAACATCACAATTCAATATCTTAGGTGTATCATTCAAGGCAATGGAGAAATAGAGGATGATGTTAATCACAGGATTCAAGCCGGTTGGTCAAAATGGCAGTGCTTCGGGCTTTATATGTGACAAAAAAGTACCTTTAAAACTAAAGGGAAAATTTTACCGTTCTGCTATTAGACCAGTTATATTGTATGGGACAGAGTGTTGGGCAGCAAAGGGTGAACATGAACACAAGGTTAGTGTGGCAAAAATGAAGATGCTTCGTTCGATGAGCGGTCATACGCGTATGGATAGAATAAGGAATGAAGATATGAAAGCTAAAGTTGGAGTGGCACCAATTGTAGAAAAAACAGTGGAAACTCGTCTTAGGTGGTTTGGACATGTGGAGAAAAGACCAATAGAGCATCCCGTGAGAAGGGTTGATCAAATGGTGAATAGGCATGTGGCTGGAGGAAGAGGTAGACCTAAGAGGACTTGACAAGCATTGATCAAGGGAGACCTTCGCGTGAACAATCTCACAGCAGATATGATATACGATAGGGCGCAATGGCGTCGTTTGATCCATGTAGCCGACCCCACCTAGTGGATAAGGCTTTGTTGTTGTTGTTGTTAACATCACAATTCAAGTTGTTAAGTAATTATTTTTATGATTCTAAACTAATTAAGCAATTCAAATCTCATGCAAAAAATTGTGACAGATAATTGCAGTGATTATATATTTAAAAAACTACGGTGTTGACTATGAAAGTGAGATAGATAATTCCAATAGCAAAAAAAGCATTGTATCTCATTTAGGTGATGAGTAATTGTCTTCTGATATGTAACTTTGTTTTGAATGTCAGGTCAATAAGTTCTGGACTGATTCACCAAATCAGAATGCAGTACTTCATTAATTGTGTTATTTAGTTAACACAACTAAATGGAAGATTCTTGCGAAATGTTATTTAGTGAAATGCTGGGAGATTGTCCAGGCTAATGAAATTCCTCCTATGCGAGAATGCAAGATTCTTGCTTAAGGGCTTCTTTTAGATTATTTCCTTCATCGTAATTTCTAAATCTCGTTACCGGAAACCGGTGTCTATCATAGGTGCTTATTGTTCAATCTGCACCATGAAATAGTTAGCAAACTTTGTGATATCATATGTATATTGTAAGCAATGAGTTGTGTTGAGTATGGTTAAATTGTGGCCACTATTCTCTTTTTTCTCGAATTTTTTGGTAATTTGTAGTATATTTTTTACTATATCCTCAGCTTTATGATTTGATCGACTGGTTCAACTTTTGAAACCTTGAACCTAACACTCTTAGATCCAGTGAATACCTTTCCAGTCCCAGGGACACCATGAATGTAGAGGCACTTTCCTAGGCATTGATCTTCACATAAGGAACCTTTTATAAATGCAGTTATCTCTTCCATTTCTCTGCTTAAAATATTTCAAAGAAAGTAGTAATTAAAGATTTGGAAAAGTATATCACGAAACCAATCAAAGCTGAAATCCAATATATTCTTACCTATTCCTACAAGGTAAAAACTTAGGAAGTGTTGCCAATAGAAGGGCTGCTTTTGCCTTTTCAAGATCTGTCAGCTTGTGGGATCTTACATGATCTGGAATTTTCTTTGCTCCTATTTTTTGGAGTCCGAAAATTCGCCCCTTCCGGGAATTCTATGTTTTAAAATATGTAAGCTGTTAGTCTTCATTTTACAGGCCTTCTGAAGTATTCAGTGTTATGACTTATGAGGCATACCGCAGCCAATGGATGAGCTGGAACTTGTCTATTAAATAAATTATGTTTATTCTCATCTTCATATTCTAAATCATTTTCATTGTCAGAACCAGAACCTTCACAAGAATTCTGCTCCCAGTCACTCTCATCTTCATCACAACCCTGCAATATAAATGAGAGCCAAAATGAAAACAAAATTCAAACAAATATAGAATATTCCAACAAATATTACCTTCATTGGGATATTACCTCTTCACCATCGTCAATGTCAGCAATACGTTTGAAACTATCCCAATGTACATCATATTCATATTCACATAGAAAAACATCATCTCCTTCATTGTTTGCCTTGGAAAATTCTTTAGGAGCCATAACAAAACAGTGCCTGATGACAGATTCCATCTAAAGAAGAGAACCATTACAAGATTAAAAGTTAGTATAGGTCTATAGGATATCAGGATGTATCTTTTCCTTTTATAAATGATATCCTGGCAAAATTATAAATCTCCACAAAAAATGATCAATTGATCATATTTAAAAGTTTGAAGACAGGAAACATAAACAAACACTTAAACAAATCAATGCTCTTCATAATTGATGCAGGGATATATATTTTCAATATATCACAGGAATCAATGTTAGGAAGTACCTGAAGCTCATAGAAACAGAAAGAATTATGGAAAAGAACTCTCTACTAAGCTCACTTTTAAAAAAAAAATCTAGTTCTAAGAAATTCTAGTGGCCAATAGATGATCTCCTGAAAAAACTCAATAATATTTTCTCTTCCCGTTAGCCAGAACCTGGGGAACATATTTACATATATCAGAAAACCTTTTTAAAATACCTCAACATCAGCAGAGTCATTAGTGCGGTAAAGCTCCCTCCTTAAGTTATGTGGTTGCCGTCCAGCGGCAGTTTCTTCCGGAATAATATACCAAATGGCCTTAAACCAGTAAGTGCCATCCACTTCTTTCCATATGCTAAAACTCATAAATGCTTCCCATCATCAATAAACTAAAACAAAATTATGGGAACAAATAACAGTTATTGGTGTGAATATATTTTACCTCTGAATTCTGGCTGCATACAGTTCACTGGAAAGAAGCTTCTCCCTCAATGTCCTAACCTTTTTCTTCCCCTTGGGAGGGACTGGCAATTCCACGGATTTCCCAGATTTCCTGGCCTCGCAAAAGCCACAAATCCAATCTCCTTCTGGAACCTCTTTCAGGGGAGGGTTTAGACACCTCAAATGAAACCCACCCAAGCAATCATCACACTCAATCATCACACTGTTGCCAGCCCTAAAGCAAACCTTGCATTCTTCCACCTCTGGATCTTCATCTTCTGAGCTCGCCCCATCTTTCCTCTTGACGTAGACATCATCCTCCACTGAAAACTCGCCCCCATCGTAAACCACCTTTTTGTAATAAACCCTCTTTCTCCCAGATTTGGAAGCCCTAGTTTTCTCCAAACGGGAATTTACCGATTCAGTACATTTCCGTTTTCTCCCAGACCGAACAGCCTCTGACGGTGTTGGTGGAGGGGCTAAAATGGCGGAAGAATCGGTACTTTTCTGTTTCTGATTAGATAAATTATTGACATTTTGGGATGAGAACTTGAGAGACTTCCGGCGAGAGGATTCGCGGGTAGCGGGAGTAGCCGGATGTGGTGTTGAGGCTTGAGGTGTGGAGGAGGTCAGGCGGAGGGAGCGGCGGCGAGGCGTGGGGTCTAGGGTTTGAGGAGTAGGCGGCAGAGCATGGCACGGAGGCGATGAATCTGATATGGGTTGCTGTTTTTGGGGGGTTTTGTGAGATCCCCTGATTGGGGTTTCGGCCATTTGCAGAGAGACTGTGATTGGCGGTTTCCCGACTAGATCTGGCGGCGGTGGCTAATGTGCGGAGATGATAGGTGGTGGCTGGGCGTGGGGGGGCTGGAAGAGGGACGTAGCTGTTCCCGCGTATTTTGAAAGGTAATGCGGGTCGGCCCTGTTTGGGGTACCATATTAGAGGTGGAAATGGGGGCAACCCCTTCTACATCAAACTGGTGTTTAAGTTTGTTATGTCGATAAACATCACCCCCACGGCGTTGTCCCGGTGTTAGGCGTGCTACGTTAAAGGTCAACGTAGCCGAAAGACGAAGAAAGTCCTTGCTCCCCCCCCCCACCCCACACAAACGGTCCAAAATATGGTCGTTTGCTAATTTAAAAAATAAATTAAATCTTAAACTATAAAGAGCCCGGTTCCATGGCTACTGGATTCCGATGGACACGGAAGTTACTGCCCTCCTACGGAATTCCGTTCATAAAATTGATGATTTCTACCCCCTTAACCCCCCCGGTAAGCCCCTCCGCCAAGTCCTGACCTAAATTAGTCACCCCACCTACGTCAATTACACCTCGTAAGTCAAAACTTTTGACTTTAAAGTCAATTATACTTACGAGGTGCAATTAACGTAGGTGGGGTGATTAGTTTGGGTCGGGACTTGGCGGGGGGGTTACTGGGGGGGTTAGGCGGGGTAGGAATCATCAATTTTATGAACGAAACTTTGTAGGGGGGCAGTGGCTTCCGTGGCTACTAGAATCCAGTGGCCATGGAACCGGGCTCAACTATAAATACCTACTCATTTTAAAAAAACATACACACACAATATATTTGAATTCTCTTTGTAACCTAAATACCCTATTTTTATTTTAAAAAATTGGATCATCATTCTCGTGTGACAAAGAGATAAAAGCAATCATGTTTTGCGCTTTCTCAACGGGATGTTACCAGTGGTGGCGACAACAACAACAAGAGGAAGCGGAATCGTCCAAGCGCTCAACCCGACATGAGCGTTTAAACTGTGATCGGGCGGCTGCGCACGAAGCACTACTCAATGAATACTTTAATACTCTGTGTGTCTACATGTCGGAGTATTTTAGCAATTGTTTTCGAATGACTTGTTCTTTGCTTTTAAGAAAACTACATAATATTAAACGCAAGGTGTCTTGGTTCACCCAACGAGTTGATGCGAGAAGCTGGAGAGATTTTAGCAGCATCCAAAAGTGCACCGTCGCGCTACATTAAATGGTATATGAAACCTATGAAACCGCTAGTGATGTGTTTGAGGAATACTTGAAGATGTCAGCTCGAAACATCAGGTCATGTTCTATAACTTTTCTAAAACTATTATTTGGTTGTACCATAAGAAGTATTTACGTAAGCCGACGATGAGCGACATTGAGCATCTATAGGCAAGACATGCCACTAAACATGGCTTTGTCGGTATGCTTGGGAACATCGATAGCACGCATTGGGAATGAAACGATTGTCCTGTTACGTGACATGGTCAGTACTCACGGGTGATCGTCCCAACCCTACTATTATGCTCGAAGCAGTGGCTTCAAATGACCATGGGTTTGGCATGCTTTTTTGGTGTTGTCGGCTCGAACAATGACATAAATGTTCTTGATAAATCACATGTATTTGGTGATTCAGTTAATGATATTGCACCTCATTCGTCTTTTGAGCTTAAAAGGACGCTTTACTATCATGAATATTATCTTGCCGATGGAATATATTCAAATTATTACACAAATATCAAGTCGTTCTCGACACTAATCGGTCTTAAATGGAAAATGCATAAAAAACTCATGAGGCGGCAAAAAATGAATATTGAACAAGTTTTCGATGTGTCGAAGGGTTAGTGACACGTTATAGATCGCCCGTCTAAGTGTTATTCTCAAACGAAAATGATGAACATTATGTACGCATGTATTAGTTTTCATAATATGACTATAAAGGACAACTAATTTACAATTTGTCATTACAACCCGGATGAGGAGAAAAAAATGAAGAAAATCGTCGAAAAATTCAAAATCGAGAGGTTCACAATGCATTAACGGTAGATTTGGTTGAACATATTTTCAGTCGTTCAAATAATCATTAATTAAATATAATTTTTCTGTATTTTATTTATATTTTATATAACTCTTATTTATTATTTTTTAAAAAACTAATGTTATTTTTTATGTTGTTAGTAACGAAATATTTTGAATTTTAAATTTTAGAATGTAAATTTAAAAAGTTAAAAAAAATAAAGGCTTGAAAGCTTACTTTGAAACCCAGTATTTCCAGTGAATTTGTGGTGCAAGTTAAAAGGGGGTTAAAGCTAATGTGTCAGAGAAAATGTGCGAAGCCCCAGTTTAAGCGCGGTATTTCCAATGTCCCTATACTATTTCCTTCCTAAATTAAATAACATATTTACTATTCAAAAATGCAAATTTCATTTATTTTTCTTTACTTATTTTTGCAACTTTTTGTTTAAAAAACATTGTGATGTTGCATTTTTTTGATGTAGTTTTTGAACATATAAATTTCATTTTTAAATTTCATCTATTCAAATAAATTGACATAAAAAACTTTAATCAAACATTATTTACCGAAACTAATAATTTAATTTTGGATGAGAAAAGTATATACTTTATTAAAATACTTAAGCACAAAAAATCAATTTAACATTGTTTTAACATAAGAAAACGATGCAACATAGTATTTGGGAAAAAAACATTTTATAAATATTATTGACTTTATTACCAGATTATATATGTTCATACTATTTCTAACTTAATAGCGTACAAAGAATCAATGCTTTCGCACGCTTGAGGTTGGAATCTAGGTGAATTGCTACCACTCAAATTAAGAGAAAAGTTATTTGGGAAAGATTCATATTTGATGAGAGAGTAATGAATTTTTTTACATGAGCTACATATTCCTTACTTTCAAATAAAGTAGAGAATTTATTAGGAAAGTAGAAATAAATAAGGGAAGTAAAAAAGGCAATTTGGACGGAACCCACAAAAATAAACAGTTTTTACCGACCAAAATCAGGGAAGTCCCGTCTTCACCAAAACCGTGGCGCAGGAACGCCATTTGGATGTCCTCCTGAGCACCATGCCGACGTCAGCCTCACCGCCGCCGCCGCCGCATCGCAGCCGTACGGAGGACGTAATAGGACGGCTGAGCTCTACCAGCTCCGAAATTCAGCTTAAGGCTCTCCGGGAGCTTAAGAACCAGATCATCGGCAACCGAACTAAAAAGGTATCATTTCTCAAGCTAGGCGCCGTCCCCGCCGTCGTTTCCGTCCTTTCTTCAGCCGCCTCTGTTCATGGAGGCGCAGATATCAACGATTCCCTGTTAATTCAGTCCGCGGCTGTTATTGGGAGCTTTGCCTGCGGTCTCGATGCGGGTGTCAAGGCGGTCCTAGAGGCCGGAGCAATTCCTCTCCTTCTCCGTCTCATTTCTCATTCTAACGAAAAGGTAGGTGGTTCTCGTCTCTCTAGAATTTCATTGCGTCGCACATTTGTATCTGCTCCTGGATAATTCTTTATATGCGCTGCAGCTCAGCTTTAAATTAAATCCGAATTCTGTTAAAAAATCAGAATTCAGTAAATTGATTAATAGGACGTAGTAATTTCACGCTCTCATATTTGGATTTGGTCATTTGATGCTCCATTCTATTGATTTTGTTGCGGAGTAAAATGTGTTGTCTTAGCAATGTAGATTGTTAACAATTATCTCCTGCACATAGCCTCTGAACATTTTTCCCTTATGATCTTGCCATGTCCTTTCTTATTTAGATTTTTAATATTTTGGTTGAGCTATGTTCTTTGTTGCATTGAAGATTAATGTTTTTTTCATGGCATGCAATTCACTGCCACACAATTCCATGAATGGTGTTCTGAACTATTGAACCCTACTTGCATTCAGAATACATTTAAAATACATTTAGAAGAACACTATTAGTGAATATTGATATCTATCTGCTCTATAAAAGTTTTGGTTCTTTACTCCACCGTTCTCTAGGTTGTGGGTGCTGGTGCAAGGTCCCTCAAGTTGATTTATCAGTCAAAATTGGCTCCAAAATATGATTTCATCCAAGACGACAATGTGGCCTTTATCCTTTTGCTATTAAATAGTGAGGATGAAAATGTTTCTGGACTGGGTGCAAGTATCATCTCGCATTCTTGTAAGACATATGCAGAACAGAAGGCATTGAGTGATGCTGGAGTCACAAAAAGACTTATTAGCCTTCTTGGAGGATCTCTAGTTCAAAGGGATGCTAGTCTAGAAGCCCTGGCCACAATTATGAAGCAAAATCCTGAAGTCACTTTGGAATTCATGGAGCCCCAAAGGGGAAGAGCATTGAATATGGTTCTCGAGCTAACTAAAGATAAATATTCACGAACAAAACTGCTTGCATGCACGTGCTTGATTTCCATTATTAATACCTCTCCTTCTTATCTTCAAGATGTACAAATAAAAAGGAAATTGATACTAATATTACTGGATCTTCTTGAGGAATCCGGTCAAGTAGGAGATGAAGCTCCTTTTGTTCTATCTAGTTTAACTTCAGAAGATGAGGGTCTGCAAAGATTAGCATTTGAAGCAAGTGCTATTGATAGACTTTGCGAACATTTTGGAAAGGATTCATTACAACCAAGACGTTCTCAGGGAATATTGCATGCACTGGCCGATATCTGTTCAAGGCTAGAATGCTGTAGGGATCGGCTGATATCTTTAGAGGTCAGTTCCAGCTTGTGTTTTCCTGTTTTTTGTGAAATACTAAATTAATAATGATCATTTTGACCAACAAATAATTTCAAATCATTATAAACTGTGGAGAAAACAAAAAATTCTAGTGTACTAAAAAGTCAATATTACATGAAACAACATAAGAGCCTGTATCTGTGATTGTTTTTCTGTATCTGTTTCTACTTATTTTGGAAGCCTTTATGGCTATATGCTTCACTCAACGTTGTCTCAATTATAATATCATATCTGTTTAATATTGCAATATCTGGTTGTAGTGTTGCAGACCCTTTATTTCTAGGCATACTGCATGAAGCATGTCACTAAATTTCAGAAGCAGAAAAGTTATTCAATGAGGCACCATATGCTTTCACTGAATTAAATAGGTCCTAACAAACATCTGTCACTTCTGTTCACATACAGGCTTTTAAGCTTGTGACTGAGGCCCTTGGGTGCCAGAGCCCCGAAGTTCGTATTGCAGCTTGCATCTGTGTGAAAAATGTTTCTCGTTCTGTCA